CCTAAAGAATCTAACTTTTTACCCACGGGCCCCCTAATGATAAAGCTGAATGAGTTACTCCCCGCTGGGATATTTCGTCTCAATGGAGGAAAACAATTCTGTTGTGGGCCAAAAATCACACCACGGCTAAGGAAATGCAAGGCCCCCCAACACTCATTACCATCCTCTGTGAGCTTTCCCATCTCTGGGACCTCCCCATTTTACTTGGTTTTCTGCAATGTTTCAATTTTCAATTAGTAACCAATTCCCTTCTACCTGTTTTGTATTTGACAGCTTCTCAAGAAGTGATCAGGCAAAATAGGATTTTTAAGCATTCAGCATCCACAGTTGAAGATTAGAAGGAGATTGGAAAAAATTGATGTTTGTGGGAAATGTATGTGTATGTGTATATTTGTATGTGTATATTTGTACATGTGTGCTGTGTCTGTGGTATGTGTATATATGTCTGCCTGCATCTGAGTGAGTGTGTGTGTGTGCGCGCGCATGCACACGTGCGCATGCTTCTCCAGATAGACCTACAGACAACATCTATCTTCCTGGCCTGTGTACTTGGGGGTGATGAATGAGTCCAACAGCCACATAGTGAAATTCCTAGCAGGTGGCAAGACTCAGCCTCCTATTTGGAGCTTATTTATTTTCCTATAGCTGAACCTGGGAATACAGTTCCCAAATTTCACAAGACCCTTGGATTTCCATCTCCAAACCCTGTGTCTCAGTACAACGTCACTCAAACAGTAATGTGCACTAGAATTCTCTAGAAACAATGTTAAAATGGACGAGTTTCCTAAGTAGGTTCTAGGCAGGACTGAGGAGCCTGCATTTCTAACCAGCTCCTGGGGGATGTCAATGCTGTTAGTACCTTTGAATAGCAAGGTACTAGAACACACAGCACAGACATTGGCCAGACATGTCATTGCTCAGAGTTCGGGCTACCTCCTATGGAATTAGTTATTAAATCCTGCGACGTTGGACAACTGTTTCTAGCTGTCGTTTATTGATTGCCCCTCTCATCTGGTTCCACAGCGGACGTTTTTTTGTTTATATCACACCTTCTTATTCCCATGCAGGTTAACGATTGAATCCAATAATAGAAATCCTCTTGTCTGAGGGGGTGGTCTCGAAGTAGGCAGTGAGGGGGCTGGATGGTTTCCATTTCCTTTGAGCAAGTATTTCATTGCCTTCTGCCATGGCTACCTATTTGTTTTTCTCACAGTAAGTTTCTACCAAGTGGCATCTTACTTCCAACATAAAGAACAAGCATCAGAATGCCTGTCTTTGAATGCATATGAGCTTGTTTTGTTTTTAGAACCCAAACATAGCCACTTGAATCTATCATGTAATTCAAAGGAAACAAGCATTGTTCCAGTCTTTTCAAACTAAGGATTTGTGTGCTTTGGGTATTTCAATTAGGAAGAAAGAAGGCAGGCAAGAACGTAATTGAACATTTATTCTCTGATACTGGAGGACGCGCTGGAATTTAAAAGCCTGACTTCAGAAAGTTTGGCATTTGCTAACTGCGGGTCTGACCTTCATATGAGAACAGTGATGAAAACTCATAGGAATGTCAGATTTTGTTATGGTATGTGATTGGGTGGATAAGGCTGTATTTACTAACAACTTCCTCATGCATACGCATGTGCTTAATTTTCATCCACGTCATTAATAAGATGATTTTAAAACTACATGAACCTCTATGTAAAACACAAACATTTCCTATTATATATTTTATTCAGTCTATTATGTTTTCCTCTGTTGGGAAAAAGCATGATATACTTCTTTCTCATCTCTGCCTTCCCAGGGACGCATAGGAAGAAAATGTCTTCATTCTTCACTTGGTTTAGATTTTTTTACGCAAAAAATCTTGTATGGATGTAAGCCTTAACCTACTCCATTTGGAGTTGAGCAGAGCCCTAATTATTTGACTTGATCTTATACCATTACCCACTCTCAAATTAGTTCCGAGATCATTCTTTCCTCAAAGTCTGCTATTGCTATTCCTGCTGTCTAGAAATCATTTTCCATGTATTTTTGTATGGCTATCTCTTTCCACTTTCTTGTCATTCAAGCCTCAGCTGAAACATTCCCTCAGCAATAAGGTTTTCTCCACCATTTATCTCGAATAGGTGCCCCCTGCCCTCCCACCACCCCCCACCACACACACACTTTTTCAATCATACTCTACACAGTGACGGAAATGTTCTACATCCATGTTGTCTAATATGGTAGCTACTACCCACATGTGACTATTGAGCACTGAAAACTTTCCTAGTTCGACTGGAGTACTGAGTTTTTTTCATTTTAATAAATATAAATTGCAATAGCCACATGCCGCTAGCAGCTACAGTATTTGATAGTGAAGCTTTCGTACTCAAACCTATCTCATGTCCTTCAAAGGCCTCATCTGTGACTGAAATTACCTTGTTCATATCTTTTTCTCTTGTTTATTGTCAGTCTCTCCATGCTAGGGTATCTTTCCTGATAACCACTGGATACCAGGGTGTTCAGCATGATGGCTAACATGTAGTGGGTCCTCAAATAATTCGTATTAAATTAACTTTAAGAAAATCCCACTTAACAGCACTTCACTGTTTTTAGAGAGCATTCCAAAGGTCTTGGCTTCTGTTGATATTATTGTCCTTTGAAAAGTCTGAGAGTCAAACTCTGAATAGTTTTGTATCATAAAATACCATTGGATTTCTGTTTGCAAAATTGGTTTTCTGAGATTCGGCTCCACATTTTGCATTCATCCTAATCAATGGTGTCTCCTTAGTTTCTGCCTTTCTTTCTATTGTGTTAAGATGGATCTGTTGTCTGCCCTTCCCAGTTTCAGCATATTTGAATATTTGGCAAATGTGAATTCTGATTATCTATCCTACTTGTAACTTGTGATACTGGCCAAGTCTTATAGAATGTAGAATTTTAGTATTCAGATCCAAGATGTTTGTTTGGGCACAGTGGGTTTTTTTTTTTGTTTTTTTTGTTTTGTTTTGTTTTGTTTTGTTTTTTCGGTTGAGTTAAAGTCAAGTCCTTGGCTATTTTGGGAAGATGAAAAACCAAACCTATGTTATTACATAAAATTGCCCCAAAGCTTTATTTTGATTGATTTCCTTTGTTAGCAGTATTCTCATAATAGCTTTAAAAAAAACATAAAAGTATAAGATTTCACTCTCTGTAAGATCTCCTTTGTGTGCAGATATTAGGAGGCTCTGTTCACTTAATTTTTTCTTATTATTTGCATTATTTTATTTGCCCCAGAAATCAAGTGTGTATGTCTGTGTGTGAACTTGCTAGTAAAAGGATGAAGTAATGTATAAAAAAAAAAAAGAAAGAAAGAAAAAAATTATCTACGCACACATACCTGGTTTCGTTTTGCTCACTGCCTTCAAATTCTGTTCATATTTGTATGTCATATATGCATGATGCACATGTTATTTTGTGTATTTTTACTCAATATTCTAAGTCGATCAGTAAAGTTTAAAAATTATTGTATTGTAACATGTTGTGACACATTCATTCATTCAACTAGTTTGCTTCTACTGGACATTCAGGCGGACGCCAGTGTGATTTTATTATGAGAAATAACAATGCAGTGAATCGTTCCTGCAAACGTATATAGGATCAGGAGTGGTATAAAAATAGTACAAAGTATGAGTCTTTCATGGTTTCTGTTGAATTTTGCCATGCTTTTGGAAAGGATTATACTGGTTTACAATACCATCAGGTGGGATGTGACTGTACTGATTTATAACAAGAATGTTTGTCTTTCATTTTTCTAATTTGGGCTCGTTTTTGACAATGGTATCGATAATTGTAGCAACAATAGCAGCAGTTAATATTCTTGAGATATGTGACAGACCCTATATTAAATGCTTTAGAAATTTTGTTTATAGTGGTTAAAAATGTGAGCTCTGCAGGCAGACTTCCCAAGATCAAATCCAGACTCCACCATTTATCTCCTATTTGCTGTCATTCTGTCCTCTGTAAAAGGATCCAAAGGGTTATTATGATAATCAAGTGAGATAATTTAGTATAGAACCAAAGGAAGCACTGGATAAGTGTTTGTTATTATTCATAATAATGGGTGTTTTTTAAACCCCATTTACAGATGAGAAAACTGAGATCCAGTGTCTTGCTCAAAGTCACACAGATAGGGATGAGTTGTACTAGGATTCCAAATGCAGAGGCCCTTTTCTGACCAAAATACTCCTGTGCAGGAACCACCACTTATATCCAAGAAGAAGTATTACTCTTATCACTGAGTTAAATCAAGTTTGAATTAAGCACAGAAAATGTGCATGTAAGGTCCCTGTGATTCACTGGAAATCCCATGGCATAATTCTTTGTTTCCAAGACAAACAAAATCCTGTTTTTTTTAATGCTGCCTTCTTCATTGAGATCTGAAAGTGGTTCCCTGTAGAAGTGATTCATGGTCTTGTGAAATCCTCTGAGATTGTAAAGAGCCTGGTAGGCAGGAATCCCAAGATCTCATTCAGGCCCCTGCAAATTCTGAGTTCCTAGCTTTCCTGAGGAAAGCCCCCTATAAATACTGACTGATTTTCTCCTAAGAGATTGCCATAAACACTTCTGGTTACCTCTTAATGTACTTGGTTCATAACTGCTTAGTCAATCATTTTTATTAGCATAACATTCTTTTTAAGCATAATGATATTGGGAGAACAGAAATGATATAAGCATAATTTCTTGGCTATGACTGTTTATGTTTTGGGGTTTTTTGTTTGTTTGTTTTAACTTTCTTTGCAGATTTGATGAATTAATTGTAAATTTCCCAAGGGGGATCTAAAGTGAACTGATCTTTGCCTTTTATTCTGGAATGTTTCATTTCTATTCTAGTCCCAGTGACTATCCATTGAGACCAAAGTTTCAATATTGCCAAGGGCTCATAAAATTGCTGATATAACCTACTTTCTCTAGAGAATCTTATTTCAATTTTCATAATGAATTAATATCTTCTTTCTCCCCCAATCTCTTTGCTCAAATAGCTATTTGTGGAGACCACTGATGTCAATGGCAAAACTCTTGAGGGGCCCGTGCCTCTGGAAGTCATTGTGATTGATCAGAATGACAACCGACCGATCTTTCGGGAAGGTCCCTACATCGGCCACGTCATGGAAGGGTCACCCACAGGTATGTCACGTTGACTTACCTTTAGCATAATGGCTTGGAGAGAGGCACATGATGATCTTTGTGGATTCTAGGGACTGTCTTATGGCTGTTCCAACTTGTCAGCTTGTATCCACGTTGACTTATTACTTCCCTGCATGGAAGCCAGGTTGGAAAGCTAAAGTACAAAGCTTGACCAAGGTGTTGCAAGTTATGAAAATCTCTTTCATTGTCTCTGAAGATGATCCTCCAAGGGTGACTGCCATCTAAGTCTCTAAGGCATGGCTAATGTTGGGCACCATGTAAATATCCAGCTTACCTTTTGGTCCAAGGTCCAAGGTCCAAGGCTAAACTTTGTGCTATAGCAAGGCTTTGATGAGAATTGGGTCCTCATTACAAACTCCTCAGTTATTTCTTTTCATAGTGGCCTTTTAATAAGAACTATTTTAGTAAAATAGGTAGGACTTTTCCCCTTCCCTTAGAAGATGTGCATGAAGAGAGCTTTTGTCTTCAGAGGACCAAAAGGAAGATGTTTGATATCTCTCTCCGGAAATGCATGTGCCTACTGTTATAGAAGTCACTCAAGGTTACTATAGAGCTCCTGCTATCTTTTCCCATGTTTATCCTTTCTATCAGGGATGGTTTTAGAATTTAGAGCTTCCTTTTTTGGCCCAATACATATTAATTAAAGTATGCCATAGCCAGCAGCTGAAGTCACTCCTGAGTATAATACTTGAGAAAATGAAAGAATAAAACAGAAAAATTCCTCTTCAGCTGGACTTTGATTTTCATCTTTAAAATACACTTGAGTGAAAAAAAAAACACCATATTAAGAGTGTCGTGTTGCTGTTCCTAGATTATGCCCAAATAAGTAAAATAGTGATTCATCAGACCAGACAGGAGATGAGAGCTACTTTTACTATTTTTCCCCCTTTGCTGAATTGATGGGATCTATCAATGACATGTAGATACATGAAACTCTGGAAATGTTACCATGGTAACCTTCCCAGACAACCAGGTGAATAATTGTATGCAAGATGCCTAAAACCTCCCGTCAGCTTCAAGGAGCTGGGTCTTCATGTGCTGCATCAGATCCCCCAAGGGCAAGATCGACCCTCTTCCTTCCCAGCTTTAAATACACTCTAGAAATGAGAGTGAATGCATTGCGTGTGTGCCAGAGGGTGTTTGAGGGGAGTGTTGGAGCCAGAGGAGCAATGACAGGTCTAGAGAGAAGGAGAGAGGGCAGGTGAAGGGAGGTCAGGTCATTTTAGGGCAGACAGTCCACGTGGCCCCTCTCTGTGAGCTGCTTTTGATGGAGAGATGGCTTCTGGTGAGAAACACCCTGGAATTTGGATTTGATGTTTACAGAAATTTTCTTAAACAAGCTGATGTGCAGAACACATTAGGAGAACCAATGAGGAAAGCGATTAAAGAGGCCAAAGTTTGAGCAGAACAGAAAAATGATTCCCAGTTGCTATCTGTGGTACCCGGGCCCTGTGAGTGAGTGACTAGAATTCAGATGGGCTGGAAAAGTGTTCTAAATGTAAATGACAGTGCTTACATTTGGTATGGCTGTGAGCTCGCACATGTCTTTGTATATTATGTGTGTATATGATTAGACGGTGTCCAATTTTCCTCCCACTGTGCCTGTCCTTAAAGTTTAGAAAAGAATTTTAGATTTTATTGCTGTATATACATGTAATATTTTTTGAAGGAAGATAGAGTTCTTTATGCACATTGAGTTTCTTAAATCACAGAGTTATTCAGTTAGGGACAGACAGTTCTCCTGCAAAACATAAACCACCTCAAATATCTATTTATGATTGGTATTATCCTGTAAAAATACATAAAGACTTAGGTGTCTGTATGGATTCATTGTTTTCTTTTTCAGCACCCTCTGGGTTGGACTGTAGAGCTCGAACTGAAATAGAATCAGTCAGATTTGGGATCCAGAATGTGGAAATGTTGCAAACAACTTTCAAATAAAAAGCCACTTAGATTACTTAGCATCCTGTAAGAGAGTTGCAGGCAAGATGGCCCCATGAGGCCAGTGGGGATCTGAGGAAGAAGACAGTATCCTCTTTCCAACCTCTTCTTCAATTTAAATTGCTTACAAGTAATGACAAACCCTAACTGGCTATAAAAATGATCGCCTCTTTTATTTCCATCATGCTCTGCTCTTCTGTGGCTCGTAGAATCCCATGTGTTGTAGGAATTATTTGACACCCTCTGGGGTTGGGAGTGGTGGTGGGGGTAGGGATGGGGTTTGGGATGGGAATGGGGGTGGGGGTTGGGGTGGGACTTGGGGTGGGGCTTGGGGTGGAGTTTGGGGTGGGGATGGGGGTTGGGGTGGGGGGGCTGACTCTGGAAAAAGGTCCATGACTTTTCCATGCTCTCGCAAATAAAAGATGGGAGTCAGTGCTTGGGAGCCAGCCTGCATAACCTACCTTCAGATCATGTGCTCTTTCAACTGTCCCACCGAATTCATGGTGAAAACAGCCACCGGGTATCATACACTGAGTCAAGCACTTACTGTGTGCCAGCAGCCATATATGTACAACATAATTGCATCCATGATCCCACTTCCTGCCCTGAGGGGTAGATACCATATCCCTGTCTTACAGATGAGAAAACTGAATGTCAAAGAGGCTCAGGAACTTGCCAAAGTTACCTGGCTGGGGAAAACACACAATTAGCGTCTATGTCTCCAGCTTCAAAATTTGGTGAATGGTTGCTTACTTAGCTGGTAAGAGGCTGCCACATGTGCCTCAATTCTCGCAAATTCTGGCCACATCTGCACTGGCATCCTACTCAAAAGACTAGTCCAGGTCTGTCTACAATAGGCCACATTTGTTCCGGGGCCTTGTGTGAGTTACAAGAAACCCAAGAGCCAGCTGGGTGTGGTGGCTCACACCTGTAATCACAGCACTTTGGGAGGCGGAGGTGTGTGGATCATGAGGTCAGGAGTTGGAGACCAGCCGGGACAACATGGTGAAACCCCATTGCTACTAAAAATACAAAAATTAGCCGGATGCGGTGGTGGGCGCCTGTAATCCCTGCTACTCGGGAGGCTGAGGCAGGAGAATCACTGGAACCCAGGAGGTGGAAGTTGCAGTGAGCCAAGATCGCACCACTGCACTCCAGCCTGGGTGACAGAGAAAGAAGACTCCACCTAGGAAAAAAAACCCAGACCCGTTGGGTCTGCTCTCTCGTTTCCATGTTTTACACCACAGACTCTGCAGGCCCAGCTTGTGCAGTTCTATCAGATGAACTGATTTAGGTCCTGACAGAAAATGACTAGTTCTTCTGATGAAATAGCCAGGCCCATTGAATCACATCTAGCGTTCAACAGGGTTAAATGTTGAGGCCCTTGTCATCACTCACATCACTTTTTTCTGAGCCCACATAACCAAAGAAAGCTTCATGGGGCGCAGCCCTTGTGGCCTCACACAGCCCAGCGAACAGAAGGGTCCCATGCTCAGAAGGGCCTGGGGCTTGGTTTAATGTTTTGCTGTCACCATCTTGAAATTCTTAATAATCATTGAACAAGGTGTCTGCATTTTCATTTTACACTGAGTTCCACAAATTATGTGGCTGTTCCTGCTCACAGCATTGTAGCCTAGAGCTGTGTTTGACGCTCTGCTCAGCTATTTAACACAGTGAGACCTAGAAGTTACTGAAACTTCTAGAAGCCTCTGCAAATGAGGATAGAATATAACAGCACCTACCTTAGAGAAACATTATGTGAGGATTCAGTCAGACAATGTGCTTCACCCAGTGCTTAGGGAATAATAAATGTATAAGGAATGCCTCTGTATCGTTAACACTGCAATTATTATTTTTACTCTGGTAGTGTACCCTTTAGCAAAGGTAAAGCAAAGAGATACATGAGTCGTGTGAAGACAAATTCATCTTCCAACAAACCACACATCATTTTCATGTCCCCATGTGTTTCAATGCCCTCAGCACCAATCTATCACAAAGGAAGGTCACCCATATTTATCTGTATGTGCAGACAGGAGACGATTCCAGTTGCTTGGCGCTAAACTCCAGGGTATTGTTTTGGTGAATCATTGCTGGATGAAGGAAGATCAACAGAAAATAATGGTCTTTGACTTTGCAGATCATGAGTTGCTCCTTTCGCAGAGTCACAGGCATTGATATATGAGGCCCAAGCCAAGGCTCTGACTGCTCCGTGGGGGCAACCAGATCTCTTTGTGAGTCTGGTGTTTTCTGATGCCCAAGGTACGGTGTTTATGAGTAGGTGTTCATGAGTAGGGTGTAGAGGGTGAGAACTCTTGAAATTCCTAGAGGGCACTAATTCCAAGACCCGATCATGTCTTGTTGGCATCAATTCGTGGGTGTTTTGCCCTCCAGTGTTTTCCTGGGCACCTTTGAGAAGGGCTGCCCATGAGGAATGGCATCTCAGGCTCCCGCAGAAGCAGGCTCTGAGATGAAGATTGAGGTCTGTGGTTTACCTGAGAGGTACAGGGTATGGATACCAGGTAAGGTGAGGTATAGAAAAGAAAGTCAGACAACTTGAGGTGCATTATTATTATAATTTTTGAGACGGAGTTTTGCTTTTATTGGCCAGGCTGGAGTGCAATGGTATGATCTCCGCTCACTGCAACCTCTGCCTCCTGGGTTCAAGCAATTCTCCTGCCTCAGCCTTCCAAGTAACTGGGATTACAGACACTTGCCACCACACCCAGCTGATTTTTGTATTTTTAGTAGAGATGGGGTTTCACCACATTGGCCAGGCTGGTCTTGAACTCCTGACTTCAGGTTATCTGCCCATCTTGGCCTCCCATAGTGCTGGGATTACAGGCGTGAGTCACTGCGCCCAGCCCTTGAGGTGCATTATTAAACCAGCTCCTGGAGTGGGCAACTGCAGCTTTATCCTTTTGGGGGAGCTCTAGGAACTGACATTAAACACACACGTTAGAGTTATCTCAGCTGAGGGGCAGATAGCTGGGTCGTCTTCTCCCCCAAGCCTGATGATGAGACACTGGTTCAAAGCTGTC